GAAAAAGTTGACCAGCATCATTGATTGACTGAACCAGTCACTGCGAGGGCTGTTACAAGTGCAAGTTCAAGTGTAAATTAGAGATATGAGAGATCGAATGTGGGGGGGGGGAGGGACAAAAACTGTGGCAATAATAGGACCAGCTCTGACACAACAAACGCGGTTGGCGATGCTACTGCGAGGTTAGGAGCTGTCGGTAACCCTTTTCCCTCGTCAGCGTTCTCGCGGCGGGCGATGGCGCTGTCGAAACCTGATTTAACTCTGCTATCCCTCCCACATCTGTCCGCGATCCGGGGCCCCGCATGCTCGGCCGGGTGATGGCCTAGCTGGTAAGGTTGTCACTGACTGAATGTTAAAACTACCGACAGGAATGTATTCCTGTCTGGGTCTGAGAGTGACGATTGTCGGACTCACATTCCAGTCCCGTGTGTCCCTAGCCTCCTGTAGGATGGCTAGTTGTTGTTCCCGTTGGTTGAACGTTACAATCACATGCTAGCTTTTTAATTTTCCAAGAAATCGGTCGCCATCGTGCAGTAAATCAGTCCTAAGTAAGCTTTTTAGGCCCAGATCAAAAGTTGATATGAATATTTGGACCGAGGTCCATCAGCCGCAGCGGGATAACTGCCTTATATTCACAGACTACTAACCGGCAGCAAGTAGTATGTGCGTGGGTTGCACGACACAGCATATTTGATAGCACAGATACACGTGCTTTGCCGATATTCTACCGGTTCGACTTATCAGTGGGCCACCCGGCGCTTCCCGTGTGTTTTCTGGTAGGTACTCCAGTTTTGAAATTGAAGCTTTTCTAATTCCCTCAAAAAGCAATTGTTAACTCGAAGTAGATCAGTTGGTCTGGGTCTGGAAAGTTTAGTTCAGACTGATTTATGCCAAGTTTAGCGATCACCAGAAAGCACATAGGGAACGCTGGGGGTCCTAGTGATGAACCGAACCCTTCGCAGTCGCGTCATGCAGCGACAGAATATCGACGAAGGATGTGTCAGGGCGCTTATCTGGTATCTGTGCTGTGAAGTATGCTGCAGCATGTAACCTATGTTCCTCTTGCTGACATAGAATGCCCACTTGTGGACCGACCGGCTTCACAGCAAGCACAATTGAGACGCTCGCCCACTGTTCTCACATTAGCCATCAAGGGGTATTTGTTCCCGGAGGGGATCCTAGTATGTTATTACAACCCTTACACTAACCATCAGTCATGACTTTACTACTGGAAAATCACTGAAAGATAACCGAATTTAACAGACTGAGGACGGGAGGCACCATGAGTTCTCTCGGATGATATTTTGATACACTCGAATGCGCTTAATAAGTTTCGCACTTGTGAAATTCAGACTGTTTATTTTATCCAACGGGACCTTATACCAACCTCCTGATTTCTTCAATTTCCTTTCTTCAGTTAAAGGGCGTCGCGAACATGCTTCGGGAGGGGGTCCTTGCGGCCGGATATGTGGTAAGTGAATATATAAGTCCTCGAGATTTGCTCGCCACCCGTCAGTGGGCAACTCCTTTCGGAAATTGATTTCATAATGAAAAATACATGCACGAGTTGCCGGGACCATCAGGAAGTTTGCGGCTTAAAATCGATGCAGGGTACCACTCCCTCCCTCTTACCGGAGACGGTACAAACGCAAATTAGGGCCTCACGGCACATGACCTTGGCGTAGAACGTGAGTGGGTCCCTGGTGGTTAGAAGATGGATGGATATGCCAGTTTGTGGGTTTACTAATTGACGTCCAGACCTCGAGCAGTCTTCTACCTGTCTTGTTGCGATTCACCTCATCATCGTTATATCTGTGTTTGCGATAATGAATTTATGACCCGTATCTGGGGTCTGGGGGATGGCGGGTCACTCCCGTGCATCACCGGCCTGTGCTTATGCATTTGCAAAAACAGTCATATGGTGATCTGACCGGTGTAACTTCGAGGACAACGACGGCATGGAACGGCATCAGGTTGTTCACCGATCCTCACTACAGCTGCCAAGCCGGCGTCGTATATACAGTAGATATGCTAACTTTACATGAATGAAGAGTATAATTCGGTTTTAAAAAAGTTTCTAATTATGCGATTTTTTAAGACCGTGAAATGCCCGTTCATCGGGCATCGTGTCTCTGCATTTACCAACGCCACTTCTAAGGTATGCAATATAGCTTAAACCTACCGCAAACGTTTCTCAACTCCATATGGCCTCCTCTCAATAACGTACAGAAATGTAGGATTTTTCGTACATGAAAAATATACAGCTTGTATTTGGAGACCCTTAGTGCAAGTGTAACGGCAGGTCGGCTTCACAATTATTCAGGAATTGGAAAAGTTTTCTAAAACCGAATTATGCCCCCGCCCCTCAAGTATAAACTTTGAAGACGTACTTTTCTACCAAATGAGTAAAAGAATGAATGTTTCTATGTATGTTTTCCACGATATATATTTGAATTTATATGGGCATCGAGCATCAACGAGAAAACTTCAGGCTACTTAAATGGTCATTTTTTTACAGCGTGTAGTCTTTGCAGGCGGCCAAAACGAAGTTCGTTCAAAAGCTGGCATCCCGAAGCAACTGAGTCACTCTGGGATTGTGCTGCACGGTGATCAATATTACAACCCTGCTTAAGTAATCTTTTCCAGTCGAAACCACATTTAAGAATTTCGGTTAACGTTTCATGAGTTAGCACATCTACTGTGCCGGGCCCTGCGGCAATCCGTTTCAACGCCGCAGGGGCATTTCTGTTGTGTGGCAGTGAATGCCCAAGTCTTCGTGGACCAGTGTTGGAAGTGCGTTCGCCGATCAGGTTGCGGTACATGCTCGTCTCGTTGCGCCTTGGAGCTCTATCCAGAGCCCTCACAGGCCCTCAACGAAGGACCAGACAGTCTGGGCTGGTTGTTTCCGACTTATTAGCCACATTCAGCCAGCCATACCGAACTCCAGCCTTAGGCAACTTGTGGTTCAAGCCGAACTTCTGGACCATCGAACGCTAAGGAGTCCAATATCCTACCATTGAGCGAGGACTAGATTTACCCCGAAGGCGCACCGAGGTAAGCGCGCCTGCAACCTGGCTGCCTGAACGCCCCCTCACTAAAGTTAGTGTTCCTGATGGCAATCAACGGGATAACGGGCCTGTGATTTAGTGTTAGGCTTAAAAACGGTCAATGACGAAGAAATCCGAGTTTGAATCCCAGGTTATTCAAACCTGGGATTTGGTATAGCTAACTGACGACGTCCGACCAGCCCAGTCTCCCCTGTCGGTTTTCCTTCCATTAAGGGCAGACGGGTTGTTTTTATGAGAGAAACCCGAGTATGTCCT